ACCTTTTATCATGTCTTTCTCCCAGAGGGCAAATGGCACAAAGCCACTGCATGAACCAGCAGCTTTCCTGGAATATCCTTCTTTCCCATTACCTACTCTGTGCTCAAATTCAGCCCTGCAGCATGAAAGGACAGTGACAGAGCACAGCAACAATCCCCTAAAGCCATTTCTTCCAGCAAATTCTACATCCCTAAAAACTGCTCAAATAGTTACTGAAGGCTCCAGCATGTATTTATAACTCCCCTCAGACGGAAATGAAATGGTTGAATGGTAATTCCCCAGCCAGTACAAGGGAACATTTTGTGGTGTAATGTGGGGTCAGGAAGTCCATACATACTTCTGTCCTGTTTTGTGACAGTTACTCTTCCCAATAAAAGGCATGTGGCTGCTGTGAGGCTGGAAGCAGAGAATGCTTTGACCCTCAGAACTGTCTAAATAAGAGGGAGAGGCTACTGGGGGCTAAGAAGCGACCAGCCATTGACAGGGTCATTGAACACTGCAAACCTACAAATCTTCCAGTTACTCCAGAGTTGGCATTTAAAAGTGAGCTTTGAATAATGTTGCACTTGAGAATTTCTGCATTCAAGAAATGCATATGGCTGCATAGACTAGGGTGAAATGCAAAGCTGGGGGCCCCCCAGGAGAGGCTCAGCTGGCTTAGAGCATTGTGAGAAAGAGGAGAGAGCAGTCTAGACAGGACCCAACAGCTGGCCTCTTGGCTGCATTCATCAGAAAAGTTTTACCGCAGAACCCCAGGGTATATCTTTGTAGTTTGTTGTAAATAACTACTTTGTGCATAAGTTAACTATTCAGTAACCTGAGTTACATAGCATAGGTTTTACTCATTTGCCACAATTTATTTTCTTGTTGCCTTAAAGATTTCTGGATTGGTTGACTCTCATCTGCATTTAGCAATCATGATCCCGGGGCTGGTAAGAGCTAACATCAAGGAAGCAGTTGTTTCTATGGAAATCACTTCAGTTTTTTTTTCTGTCTGGCAAGATGCAATCTCTCCTTACCTCCACTATTCCTTTTATCCCTTCTAGTTCTTTCTTGTTGATTCTTGACAACTAGCTTTTACCCTCTTACTCCTTGACATTAAAAAATTATTAAGAAACAAACCACCAGGGGCAATCTTTCACTTTGTTACAGCAGGAAATACTAAGTATAAAATATCTGGGCATTGTGTCCACGAGCAGTCAGAACGCCATGGTGCTCTCTTTTTCAAAGGAAATTGTGTAATTCAGGAATTTTATCAGTGAAAGTGGTCATGTACAGAGCTCTGATAAGGAGTCCCCTGTTTTGACCTAGCACAGTGCAAGCATAGCCAAACCTCTTCTCCTCTATTGGCCAGTTCACGACTATTTCGGGAATGATCACCCAGAGAGGCCTTTGGTTGCTCCATCTCCTTTGGCTGCTTGTTAATGGGTCAAGGCCCTGCTTAGCACCTCCTGGCACGTAGAGGAACCACAGGCCCGGGAAGACAGGAAGCCCAGACTCTGGTCTAGCAAAACCCTGATGTTGTTGACATCTACAGCACTATGGAAAAGGGAAATTTTTAAAAATGGCATAAGGATTTCAATTATTCCTTCATTCTTTTTCTCTTACAACCTTGAATGATATAGAAATAAAAGCATATAATTTATTCACAATGAAAGAGAACCTCTATATTGTAATTATTTGTATAAAAGATTAAAGAATAACTTATGCACAAGGCTTGATTGCATAGAACTTCAGTATGTAACTTTCTTAAAACATCTTTCTCCTTGAAATGCTGGACCTCATTCCCTCTTGTTTCTCTTCTGTGCTGGGGTAATACACTCTACATAGCTCTTAACAATTTGATTTGTGCCCGGTCTTAATTTGTACAAGGTGACTGACTGATGACGTCAAGAGGCCAATGTCAAGGAAAGAAAAGTTCATTGCTATTCACAGTTCCCCCAGAAAGAAGAGGCACACATATCACACAGGGCCACGTGTGGAGGCACCAGAGTTGTCCAGGGGCAGAAGCAGGAACCAGGGGGAAGCATAGGCCACAGCCTGTATTGGGGTTTCTGTGGGAAAGGCAAGGCAGTGCAGAGCAAATGCTTATGCTTGGCTAGTTTGAATGATTCCAGCTGGTTTTGGGGCATATGGCCTGTCTCTAGTTGCCTGGTACTTGGCTTAGTTCAGTTTAGGGGATGGGAAATACTGGCTTGGTGTGTGAGTGGAGGTGGCTGTGGGTATGGATTCTGGATTGGTAGTTTGTAGATGAAAATCTGGTTTACAGATAAGTTTTTTACTTTCTCTAGAAATTAACTAGCTTTAGAGTGGGCAGTCCCTCCCCAGCTACTATGGTTCCTCAAAGATGTCAAAACATCATAAAATAGTTGAAAATTAAAACATGATTAATTCATATTTCATAGCAGAATTATCTATTGATGTGACCATCTCCCCAGTCAGACTGGGCCTCCTTGGGGCCAGTGACTATGCCTTGTTTTCTATTGAATCCCAGGTACTTAGCATGGCTCTTGACACGTTACTTTATTAAGACTTAATATTGAAAGAATAAATAAATGTTAACTGTGATAAGACTCATTCACGTTTATTAGATGATTACTGTGTGCCAGCATAGTGTCAAGGGCTTTATAAATTTTATTTCATTTAATCCTCATAACAGCCAATTACACAGATGTAGTAACTTTTTTTCATTGCTGCTGTAACAAATTGCCACAAACTTAGTGGCTTGACACAATGTAATTTATTATCTTATAGTCCTTATGTACTTACATTCTGCAGCCAGCAGTCTTCTAAACCTAAGGCACAGTATGGTATATAGATTAACATTTAAAGATTGATTAAAATCTTCACCCATACCATAAGAATTTCATTTTTTTAATGTTTGCAAATATTGCCATTTAGTCTTGAATTGTTCATTTTTTCCCCTAACTGAGCTAGACTTCAGTTGTACCTGCTGTCTTTGTCCCTTTTGTACCCCAACTGCCATTAGTTAAAAGCCTTGTTACAAAACTACAGACTCTACTCCAGTGACAGTTTGCAGAAAGAGGAAGCAGCTCACACACAAAATTTACCAAGAAAACTTTTATTTCAGGCTAGTTTTCCTGGTATATTGCCATGAAAGTCTTTAGCCATGCTCCCCTACACTCCATCCCTGGAGCTTTTCTTCTTCACCAGATTTAGCTCTGCTCATGGCCTTGTCAGCATTCATATCAGAGAGATATTTATGCTGTAGAAAAGAAAGTTTTATGAAGCTCTAAGTTGGAATATTAAAGTAAAATAATTACATACCTTTAAGGAAAAAATATAGTTTGTATAGGTCTTAAGAACATCCTTAAATGCCTACCATTGCTTCTGCAATGAAAATTTATGCATTAAGTCGACGGAATGTCACCGTCACTCTCCCGTGTGGACAGGAGACCCAACCAAAGTTCTCTTTATATTATTTGGAATGCAAAATCTAATTTCCCAAAGAAATGATATTTTAAATAGGGAATTTATTTCTTGGGGAGCACACCAAAGTCTCTTTTGTAAAGAATGACTATGAAGAATTATAAAAATAAGAGTAACAGTCATTATAATTGTATTAGTACTAATATTTTCATTATTGGCATTAATATGATGTAGGTAAAAATTATATGTTGGCCTAATAACAACATATTTTTGTGTGTTGTTACATGTAATGTTATAAGTAATAAAACAACAGTTTTATTTTTTGAGAAATATATTCCTAATATTCAGAGAGGCTTCTGAGGAACCATCCACACTGACCCCCCTTTCCCTCTCCAGCCACTCTGCTCCTTCAGCCCCATCAGGCACCCTACAAGGGAAATACCCACAGAACTAGAGAGTGCACAGCATATTTAAAATAGTATATGATATAGATGTTCAATAGTTTTTCCTGACTTTAAGAGGAATTTAAACTTTACAGGAACCTTGGAAGAAACAGAAAAGTAGAAGTAAATAAACCTCACTAATAATTTTGCCACCTAGAGAATCACCATTAACATTTCAGAAATTTGTTCAGTCTTTATATATAAGTTAATTTGGATAATATTTCAAATACTATTTTATTGGCTGCTTTTATCACTCAATATTGTTTATATATTGTTTTATAGGCATTTTCCCTTTAAAAATGTACATGACTTTTAAAGTTGGATAATGCTTTCAATGATAAATGATAAATGTAGCAAAACTTCTAGTAGATAATTTGCTTGTTTCCACTTTTCCACTAGTATAAAATAATGGGGTGATAAATGTTTCCAAATACTGCTGATAATTTTCTGAGATCAACCACCAGGTAAAATTACTGACTCAAAATATTAAACTGATTGTGTCAAAAGACTGAAGGATTGTGTTGGGATGGACAACATAAGCAACTAAGGAACTTACGAAAATTGCAGAAACAAAAATACTATCCTCATCCCGAAGTTGCTAGTAAAGTGTGTGGGAGAAAGGGGAGATGGGAAGGAGAGGAAATAACATGTCACTTAAATGTGAAAAAAATATTAAAATCATTATTTAGTTTCTTTCAAGAGCTATGGGAACAGTTTGTACTCCTCCCAAACTATGCACACAGTGTTACTGATACTGACTTTGAAAAATAAATCTTTACCAAATCAATAGCTTCCTCACTCAAAAAGATATCTTACTGTTGTTTAAATGTGATTTTTAAGTGAGTTGATTTATTGGCAAAGCTAGCTAACTTTCTAGGTTCAATAGTGATTTGTATTTCATTTATGAATTGTCTGTTTAAATCCTTATGCATAATTAATGAATCTGGAAATTACATTTAACTCTAGAGTACCTTTTATCAGTTTAGAAACAGTTATGTAAGCTTAATCAGGAAGGTAAAACCAGAGTTTCTTGGTCATCTCAAAACAGTAATCTCTGAATGAATTAGTGGTATGTCACACCATGCGCATGTTCAGTGGATCAGATATCCTTATATAAACATTGAGTTTATTCAAATTGATGACTTCTAACTAATTTGGCTTACCTTTTCACTCGATTACAGTGTAAGTGCTTTCCATTCCGCTCTCAATGTGAACACTAACATGGCAATGAAATAACCAGGTTCCAACATCTCTTGGGTACATTTTTACAGTTTGATAGACTCCGGGAGGAAGGTCATAAACGTCAGAGTGAAACTGTCCCGAATCCTCAACAAAGAGACAAAACACCATTCAATAGCTAATAAAGATTATCAGTTATTTACATGGCTTACCATTTGCTGGAACTCTCCAATTCTAGTATACTGCTAGATGACAATTAGACATTGCGCCTCTCCTCTGGGTACAAATGAGAGTCCAAGGGAGGAGCAAGTCCCAGGACATTTCAGAGATAGACGTCCGCAGGGAAAATGTATCGCTCTAAAAGGTACCTTGGGTCAGTATTGGGGTTACCTTGTTGGCGTCTCCTAAAGAAGAATGCTCTAAATTTCAGAGAACATTCTGTTTTACAAATCCTAACATTTTAATTGAAATATTTCTAAATAGGGCAGCTGGTGGTGTAAAAATGATCATCTCTCAAGATGTAGCTTGTCAGGAAAATTCACAGTTGCGGGCAGAAGAGCAGCCTGTCTGCAGCTACATCTGCCTTCTGGGGTGTTGGGGCTGAGGGCTGAGGGCCTTCGTGGCTAATTTTTCTCCTAAGCAGAGAACCTGATGCTTAGTAAACTGCCTCTTTTGTGGGCTACTTTAGTTTTGAAAGATCCAGGCCTGGCCTGGATGGATTAGGAAGAGACTAAGAGGGAAATGAATTGCTCTGCATAATAAAATGGGAGGTATTTGGAGGATGGGGGTTGTGTGGAAGAAGGCAGCTTAAGATTTGGTCTGGAATAATTTGAGGAGACATCAGATAAGAGAGTCTGGAGAGGAGGAGCCTGGAGAAGGAGTCCTGAGGATGAGAGAAAAAGCAGGAGAGCCAGAGGTTATCAGCAATGCAAGGTGGAGGGAACATTGAAGACAGAAGTGTCTAATGTCAAATGGCAAGTGTTTTCACTATGCAATGTGGGGGTAAAAACCCTCATTTATTCCCAAACCTTCACTAGACGTCTATGACTCATGTGGCCTTGATTTTGTGGTTGTTTAGGGGAATCATAGGAAATGGGGTATGTTCCATTTGGAACTGCACAAAGGGATGAGAAAATAATGGTCACAGGAGGGGAGAGGCCTGGGAGATGAGCAGAAGCAGGAAATGTAAATGGGAGGTGACCAGAAGAATCTGGACCACTCTTCAATGAGTCCTCCATCCTCCAAATACCGCCCGTTTTATGATCTGGAGTAATTCATCTCCCTCTTACTCTCTTCCTAATCCACCCAGACCAGCTTCATCATTAGGTCCTCAAGACTCCTGGAGATGCTGGAAGGTAGAGAGGAGCCACGCCATCTCCCACTGGATGCAGAGTGGGACCTGAGCCACCGTTAGTTAGGAAAATTAATTTTGCACCTAAGGTGACAGTAATATAGGTGACATAGATACATTTATAAGATGTCAGAAAATAGAGAGAAACAATTTAATGAAACAATTTAAATAAGAACTGACAATATCTAAGACCCCAGTAAATGTACAATATGTACCTGGAGGCCTTGCACCAAGAGAGACCATAGCCTTAGGGAACAGGAGGTGACTGTCCGGCTTGTTCCAAGGCCAAGTTAGTAACCACAGAAGGCTGCTTTGCCGCCCCTGGGAGTTCCAGGGAGTGAAGCCCAGTGGCTGCATCAGCTCCACCTTAAGGGCAGGAAGAGACTACTTTGTGATCAACTGTGAAGGGTTTTGAGTGAATGGCCAGCATCAACAGCTGGTGGTACTAGGTTGTGTGGTTTAAATGAGATCATTCTTAAGGGAGGTAATTTTGTCAAAACATTAAGAGTGAGAGGTTCTGGAGTGAGAGCCAGGGGTTCAAATCCCATTTGTATCTCTTCCTGCTTGCAGAGAAGTTTTTTATTTTATTAACCCTTCATTTAATTATCCTACAAAACAGTGATAAAATAATGCCTATCTCATAAGGAAGTTGTAAGGGTTTACTGAGAAATCCATGCAAAATATTAAACATAGGACCTGGCACATATGACATTATGTAATAAAGATTAACTGTAATTACCATTGTAGAAATCTTACCATCAATCCCACTTAAATTGACACCTTATAGTGTAATAATATATGTAGATGCAGTCCCTAAAAGATAGACTGATTTCATTTCCACATAACACTTGGCATAGTTCTGGGAATACCAGAGGCATTTGTTGAACTGAACTGACCTAAACCAAACACCAAATATATTGCAAAACACTAAAACCAGATTTTAAATCTCTCTCTTTTGTTCTAATTTTCAAAGTCTAATGCAAACAGTTATGAACTTAATGACAATCCCAATATGTAGGTGTTTCTTTCAAAAATATGTGGAGCATAAATGGAAGCATAGAAGATCATGATAGTTGGCCCTTTGGGATGGGTAAAGGACTCCATTATATTATTCTGTCTGTTTTATTATATAAAATTCCCTATAATAAAAGTAGGGAAATTTATATAAGCCAAAAAAGGAAATTTAAGAGGAATAGATATGTTCATTAAAGGATAGAAAAGAAAGCAGCACATGGGCAAGGCTTTGGGTGAATCAGGGCATGCACCCCTGTTTCAGTCATTTCTCAGATAGGCTTGAGCATGAAGAAGCCATGAACTTAACACATCTAGAGCAGGAAAGCTCTGTGTAAAACTTTTATCAGTGCAGGAAACATGGACTGCATTACTCCAAGTGGTTGGGTTAAATGCCTGAGGGCATCAGATGCATAACATATACTTTGTCCTCAGTTGTACATTCATGTTTATATAAGGGATTAGGATGAGGAAATAAAGAAAATATACCTTAAGTCAATAAATGACTAACTTGGAGATTGAAAAGGGAGGGATAAAATTTAAGATACTTGCAATACATTAGAGAAATGGCCAGTCAAAAGTGGTCAGGCAGAAAACAATTATGAAGAAGTATGTCTGGTGGGGCGAGGGAAAGCAATTCAGACAGATGCTGAAATGAGACTAGGAATGCATAAAAAGGAAAAAGACGGCAATAACAATTAAAAAGATGCCATAAAGCAGCTGTCACCTAATTCCACATTTTTACATATTTTATAACTCATGTTGAAGGAATATAGAATTGGAAAGCTATGATTTGTAACCCCTGTTATAAAAATTGATTCTGGCAAGAATCATCAATGGACCCTTTTTGTAACTATGAGATGAAAAATTGCTGGAGAATAAAATATACAGAAAAATTCTTTTCACAGATACTTCTTCATTGTAAAAGGAAGATACTTTTCAAATGGAGAGAAATGGTACAAACCACCTTAATAAGTTATCACACAGCCTCGCCAATAGCAGCACCTACTGACATCTTGTACCTCTTAAGTGATGGTGAGAAGTAGAGTGCCACCTAGGCACTGTCTCTGCCAAGGATGTCCGACATGGATCCTATCACAAGGAAAGCATCAGACCAAGATGGAATAGGGAACATTCTACAAAACAACTGGCCTGGACCCTTCAAAAATGATATGTCATGAAAGATCAAGAAAAAAAAGAAAATACAGAGGCCCTCTTTTGCTTTTAGGAAAGAAACGACAATGGTGATCAAATGCTGTGTACAAATGATTAGATCCTAGATTTTAAACAATTATAAAGAGCATTTTCGGAACAACCTAGGATGCTTGAATAGATTGTATATTACTAAATTGTGTTACTAAATTAATCTTAATATTGGGGGTATGATAATGTTATTGTGGCAGAGCAGAGATTGTTCTTGTTCTTAGGATGTGCACACTTTACTACTTAGTAGTGAAGATGTTTGCAATTTACTTCAAACTGGATTCAGAAAGGATGTTTATATAGAGAAAGCAAATGTGGCAAAATGTCTATGAGCATTCAGATTTTTTTCTTTTACATTTCTAAGGGTTTGAAATTTTTGGAAAAAACAGGATTGAAAGGGTGAAGCTAAAGATGATCACAGAAGTCTTATTTACCTATTGAGTAATATCAGATTAGGGCAAGAAATGCACTGCACACATTCACAAACATTTATTGAATATCCATGGGTACAAAGAGCTAAATGTACAATTACTCAATTGTACTCAACATACCGTAGTTGTATGTATTGAATCTAGCTCTGTCTTGGTCATTTCTTTTCCAGTCTGTTCTCTTGCCATGCCACCCCAGTCACTGGTTTACCAGGTACAACATTAATAAAATGGAGCTGCCCAGGCCTCTTACCGTGAATTCAAAGCTGTGGCCATGAAAGTGGACTGTGTGCAGGTCAAATTCACTCCCCATGCCAATCAGATACCAATTCACTTCATCCCCCACATGAAACATCAGACCTTGGTTATTTCCGTACATTCTTCCATTAATTGCTGTGGGGGACACAATTTACTATATTTAAGAAGGATTTGAAATAATGCAGGTTTTTAAAAAACCCCTTATAGAAAGTACCATGGATGTTTCCAGAGGTCTTAAGGATTTTAAAGCCAGCCTAAGGAAGCTGTTAAACATGACCAAGCCATCCATACATGGATGTGTCTAATTCTAGAGAGTTTTTCTTGCCTGAGGAAATGAGGCACTGATATTGTTTTAACATAATCAGGTTGAATATTTCACAAGTAAGGATATTTAAATTGGTGGGTACTTAAATATGTTTATATATTTAAAATATATTTAAAGCTATTGCAAGAGGCTTAGAATATTAGGGGGGTGTGTTCCCATTTAACTGCCTAAGTCAGACCTTGTGGTGTGTTACTGGTATGACTAGGATGGCCATACGCCTGGTCCAGGCCTCCTGTCTCTCCCTCTTTAAACCACTAAAAATATGGTTTTTAAAGGGTGGTAGGAAGAAAACACTTGAAATTAAAATTACGTCTATATCTAGATTTGTATATATATGTGTGTATATATTAATGTGTGTGTGTATGTGTATATATAGATACATATATCTATATATACAGCCTCCTTTACACTTTTCTGGAATGTGCTAACACAGTGGTACAAATACATAATTGATATTCATGTATTTATGTGAATTGGGCTCGAACACTTAGCTGATGTAATTGGAAAAACTAGGAGACTCTAGACTGGTGCTTCTCACACTTTAATGTGCATGTGGCCTGGGAATCTTGTTAAAATGCTGCTTATGATATACTAGGTCTGTGAAGCCTGAATTTCTGCCTTTCTGACAAGCCTCCCGAGTGGTGCCAATGCTGGTCCACAGAGTACTGCTGGAGCGCAAGTGCCTAGACAAGTTGCTCCCGAAATGCCCATCTATTCCTTTCATTCCCTAGCTCAGTGCCCCTGGTGCCTTTAGCACAGTGGCTTTCAACAAGATTTTGTCCTCCAGGGGACATTTGGCAATGATTGGAGACATTTTTAGCTGTCACAACTTGGGGAAAGGTACTATGGCCCTGGGAGAGGAGGGTAGAGATGCTGATAAACAGCTTACAAGGACCAGGACAGTCCTTAGAACAGTCATCCAGCCCAGAATGTTAACAGTGGAAGCTAAAGAAACCCAGTTTTAGATCAAGTCTAAATTCTTAACAGAGTATTCAAATTCTTTAAACAATTCTGTTGACTTTTTCTTCCCAGGTGCTGTGTGACTTAGCTCACATTCTTCCATCTCCTGGCATATCATTCCTCTCCTTTCCTACTAGATGGACTCCTATGCATCCTTAAATACTCAACTCATGTGTCTCCTTCCCTTCATGAAGACTTTCTTGACCTTCCAGATAAGAATTTAAAAGAATTTAAAACATAGCACACATTTATATTTCTGTTAGAGCGTCGCCCCTAAGTCGGCCTTATAGTGTAGCAGTGCACAAGTCTGCCACCCCTACACTGTGAACAACTTGAGGAGATGCCCCATTTTACTGGCCTTTGTATTTTCTCAGGGCCTGGTATGGTGCTTTGTGCCCCCCCCCCCCACTGAGGCTTATAAAAAGAGTATGGGTAGAATGTATGTAGTCCTGGAATAAAGTTTAAATTTACATGTATTTCTTGAGGAAAAACCCTGAAGGAGTGGAAAATGATCATATCTGGGTTTGCCTTACTGATGACCCCCTTACCCAGTCATATCCCCAAGTTTCAGCAGGTAAAATGACTGGAACCAGAAGTTTGACCAAAACTGTAAGTAAGTGAGATTGTTTATGTGCTTTTTATTTGAATAATTGTCTCGTTACTGTGATTCTAGATTGGGAGAGGTCAGACACCGGATGTCACCATCAACCTATCAATGAATTTTGGTTGATGAGCACTGTATTTTTTTCTGCCTGGTAATGGTGGGGAAGATTAGGTAGGGCAACGTGTGCTCCAGTTTGCCTCAAGCCCCACCTCCCCATGTGTTCATCCAGGCAAAATACTTAGAAAGTACATAGCAAGGCCCTCCAGAAATGATAACTGGATTTCTTGGCTTTACATTGCCTGCATAGCTCCAGAGGCATAGAAATTTGCCACACTGCCAACTCAGTAGCCTGTAGTCCACAGGCCAGATCCAGGCCACTCAATGACTGTTTTTCTATGACCCATGAGCAAAGAATGGGTTTAAAATTTCTAAAAGGCTGAAAAAAACTTTTAAAAAAAGAGCAGTATTTCCTGACATGTGAAAATTACATGAAATACAAGTTTTAGCATCCATAGATGAAGTCATACTGGCTTGTAGCCATTTCCATTTGTTTTCATCTTGCCTATGGTTGCTTCTGTGGGACCATGGCCAGAATACAAGGCAGCTTATGGTAGAGAACATATGGTCTACAAGCTTAAATTCTTTACTTCTCAGCCCTGTATGAAAACAGGTTGCTGACCCCTGACCCACATGGTCTACACGACAGCTCTGTGTGATTGTGTTCTCTAAATTATGCTGAGCTTAACAAATGTGACTCTTCACCTGTTCTCTTTGTGCCAGATAACCGGTGGGCTACAGCTGGTGAGTTAGTTAATGGACATTACCGTGCATTATGTTGCTGAGCTCAAATTCAGGATCGCTCCTGTCTACTTTATCTGGTTCTGGAGAATAGGTATTGATATTTTCTTCAAAGTACCAGGATCTGTTTTCATCAAAATTCATAAAGTGTAGAACACGATGAACTACGCTGGCTTTGTTGTTTTTGTGACAGACAATCAGAGGGCCTACCAGTCCGCTGTTAAGATCCTGCAGAGGAAAAGCAAGATGATTGTGCCCGCAACTAAAAATTTACCCCCAATAAATAGAGTGGAATCAAGTGTTAGTTCTAGTGAGGTCAGATCCTGAGTTTTTAATTATTAGGATTCTAAGTCTGAGAATAAGGAATAAAATACCTGACATACTAACTCTTCGATTAAAAAAGAATTATCACCTCATTCATTAGAGCTTAAGTCTAAAGAGAACAACAAACTACTGAAAGGGACTTAACGTGCTTTCCTTGGTGGATTTAGCTGTTTTTGAAATTTTAATTAAAAAACAGAACTTTGGAGGTAATTAGAATTCGCTGGTTTTGGAACTGGTTGGCAGAGTAGTCTGGACGTTTGGGATGTTTTGTCCTCTGATACCTCGGCCCCCGCAGCGGCTTCAGCCGGTCTTGGTTTATTTAAACTCTTTTTGTTTTGCGGCTGAATGTCTATGCAGCTTTTTGTTCCAGGCAGAGAGTGGGCCAAAGCAACTAAAAGTTCAAAGATGGAACTCTTTGTTTTGTTGTTGCTGAATGCAAATAAACTGCAACTCCAGAGTTGATGGTTTTAAATATATATATATACATACGTGTGTATTTCTCATTAATCACAGACTTTTTAAACTTCATACTTTGTTTCCTGTAACCTGAATCCTATTCAATAAAACAAAGAGGAGATATTATTATATAATGATGTATGGTGTTCAATTCACAGGGACATTTTTGAAAATATGTGTAGTATATTTTGCTCTTGAAAAATGCACACCTGTATAGGATTTAAAGCCAAGCAGCATTTAGGATAGCTAATAGAAAGTTTACCTAGAACTAAGATTTTTTTTCAACAAAAATAAACTCCTTCCTTCCATTATAATTTCTAAGGGAAGATAAGAGAAAAACTGAAATTTGGTTTAAAATTTACCTTAACCACATCCACAGTCGAATAGTAAAACCAAGGTATGCACTCGAAGTCCTCTGAGGCAGGACCAGATCTTTCAGGAATCTGCCAGATGTATGTTTGAATCTCTCCTATAATAGACAAATACAGTGTATTTAAATAGGTTTTTTCTAAACCACACATCTTTATCGAGATGATTATACTGAACAAATCCTAAAGCTACACAAATGGTAGGCAGTACAGTCCTAGTTTTCACATCTGTCTGCACTGCTCCTGGCTTTGGGATCTTGGTCAATGTGCTTAAGTTCTGAGCTTCAGCTTTCTCATGCACATAAAATGGTCATTTAGGGGTTACAGGAGATAATGCAAATGAAGCCCTTGGTGTTGTATTACCTGGACCATAGGGCAAGGTTAATGTCTTTATCAGTGTTGACTATTATGTTCTCAGGGTTACTGGGTCAAACCTTATAGTGATTCCGCCATTGAAAAATGTCAAACATTAAATATCTCATTCATTTGTTCAACATGTACTTACTGTAGTGAAGATAACTCAGGCTTTGAAATGTGACGGGTTTGTTTTGCATCCCAACTCTGGCCCTTCCAGTTGTGAATTACCTGCCTCCTCCCCATCCCCAGAGTGTTTGCATTAGCCCTGCAGAAGCTGCATTTTACACTCTTGCCTCTTGCAAGGAAGTTGCTTTGGATATCCCCTCCTGCCTCTGTCCCTCACTGTATGTATAATCCCACATTGCCTGCTTCCAGAGGCTTAAGTCACTGTTCCCAAGCATCTCACTAGCCTCTCTTCTTCAGAATCTTTAATAGTCTACTTAGTACTTTTCCTCTCCAGCACACCACAGTGCCTGGGGACACAGCAGGTACTTAGAAGCATTTGTGGAATGCATGCAATGTTATCCTTCCCTGACTGATCAGAACTGCTGACTTGCAAACTCCCTTGATAGGAGATTCCCTTTGGTACCACCAAGAAGACTGTTTTTAAAATCAGAAGGGACTATTTCACCCACCATCAAAGTCTACCTTCAGTCTTTTGGTCCCACAAATCTTTCCCTTGCTCTTTCCTTGATATCCATAGTCCCCAGAACTACTTGTTTTGGTGGGCAGCTGTGGTGGACATTCTGGATGCCCCTCTCCCATCACCCTTTAGGAATGAAGGGCTCGATGTTCCACAAGGTGGCAGTCCCCTTCAGTGATGGCCTTGGCTGAAGAAAGGCACCCCACCCAAGCCTGCATCCAGTGACTGATGCAGGGACACACAGGCCCAGCTCGCTCACTCCAGCTCAGGACAGCTGAGGGTCAGCCTGTTGTCAGAACTTCTCCTAAGGTTGCCTGTGTGATTGCTATTGAGGCTGAATCTCCGCTCAGCCTCTCCTCTTCTCAATTCTGCTTCTTTTTCTTTCTTTCCATAGTCATTGATACCAAGAGCACTAACTGCACATGAATCTTCATTTCAGTCTCCTTCCTGGGTATTTCTATTAAAAGTATTTATTTTCTAATCAGTTGAGTGTGCCAAATGCTGTATAGTAGTGATGCCATGGAAATGTTAATTCATATGGCACATTACTTCCTCTGAGAATCTCAATTTTCTCCTTTGCCCTTTTCCTCACACATTGCATCTTGTACTCATTCCTATTTTAGCACTTGAGTTGGAGAGATTGAACATAGCATAAGACTACCTGGCAGATGGACAGGTGGAGAGGTGAGAGGTAGGGAGGCTATAGTGGAGAAATTGCATACACCCCAGAGTTTTGCCCAAGGTGCCCCTTCTGAAAAGCAAACTCAAACTTGCAAAAGGAACTTCTCTTCCAAATTCTTTTTCAGGCCCTTCTTACTAATCCGTTGGTCTCATCTGGAACTACACCCATATTTAAGAAAAAACAGTGTAGCCCCATCAACCTGCATAAAAGCTCTGGGGCTTTTTTCTCCCAAAGCAGTTACCTGGCTGTGTCGGAGCAACAGTGGAGTAATTCGTTTTCACTCCATGAGCGTGGATAGAATATGGTCTTGAGGCATTATTTTTAAAGATAATTTGGACTTCTTCACCAGGGCTGAGAAATATTAAAGGGCCTAGGAAATACAAAAAGGGAAATGTGTGGATAATTGTTATTATTTTAAATTATGAATCACCTGTCCTCTTAAAGTATTTATATAGTGACTTATTCTCATCCTTTTCCTTAACAGGCAGCCAAATGAAACACAAACACTTGTAACAAGTGGGTCATTGTTGACTTATGGGAAATTTAAGTCATCTGGAATCTTTATAAGCTACTTTTCTAGATAACTTACTGTGATGAGCACCACACAGGTTAGAAGGGGAACCTTTTATTTTCCTTCTTGACCAATCTGATCACTTAAGCCTTTTGTTCTTTACTCCCCAACCCTAGTGTAGGATGGGAAGGAGTTGCCTGGCCTTTTTATTGACCCAGAGAGATTTCCTCTTTTACAGACTTTCGTTACACTCTCTCTTCCCTTTCGTTCCCTTTCGTTACACTCTCTCTTCCAGCTCAGGCCAAATAACCAGATGTATGAAATTTGTTTTAAATCTTCTATTTGGAAGCAGATTATGTCAGTGGCTCTAAGAATTCTGAAGAAGAGATGGTGTTGAGATGAACTCAGCAGAGAGAACCCTCCTTAGCTTGTGCTATAATCACTAAAATCAGAGCTCTGAAGATACTTGGTGGACACATAGATGTCAGCTAAAGACAGTGCCTCACGACCGATCCACTTCCCCAAGCACTATATGTATTTTCCCTTTTCCATGAAGTGTTTTTCCTTTTTTGTACAAATTATAATGGAGTCTAGAGGGTGATTTTGTTCAACCTATTTTGGTGCATTTGGCCAGAATCCTAGAGAAAACAAACTTCTTGCTGTTACTAAAAATAAGATCCTGCCTAATAGCAGTGGGAGCTGGACAGCACAGACTCCCTCTGGGGTCACAAACGAACAAACTCAAGAGGCTGATGAGGGAGCCAAGAGTAGTAAAACTTCCTCCATCAACATGTAAATCCATCTTCTCAGGTTCCCACACCAGAACATGCCAAACAGATTAGAAACAGAATTTACAGGCACTTTCCTCTGTCAGAGTGGAGGTTGACAATATCTTCAATGTGTGCAAACAATCTCTAGTGTCTGTGGACAAGAACAAAAACTGCAAAACCAATCTTATAGTATATCAATACCTAGTATCCCCAGATGTTCTTCATCTTTATTTCTTTTGGTTTGATTTGCGAATGTGATATCATCGTATTGACGGTATATGACTTTCTTGTATTTAGACCCAAGAAACGTCCCAGTTCTATCCAAATAGATGTTTGTTTTGCTTTAAGAAAATAAAAACGGAAACAAAAAATTCCACAAAGTTGGTAATTTAATCATTAAATAAGACAAATTCTCATATGAAAGAACGTCTTATTGAAATAAAACAATTTACTAATATCTAGAGGGTATTTTACCTTGGAAAGTAATTATTTTTATAAAAATACATTAAGTTGGGTAAGATTATTGGACATTCACTCCATACTTTCAAACATGTTTTCAGGATGAAATTTTAGTTTTGATAAAGGAATAAATAGAAAAATCAGAGAAAGAAATGAAATTTTACAAAAAAGAAAAATTAGTGCCTTCAGTTTGAGCTAGAAGAGCAGAGATAGAAACAAATAAAGACAAAAGGAAAATCTGAGTGATTCCAAGCGTTGAATGTAGCTGAAGTTATGGTCTCTATATTCCGCAAAGTGATGAAATTGGATGGTAAACACACATAAGGAAGGTAGGATGCAAGGAAGGAAGTGAGAGGCAGGAAGAAACAAAGCACACAAGTTACGTAGCTGTTTAGACAGATTTGAAGTCATTTATACACTTATCACTTATAAGATATCACGCACTCAGACATTTTGAAGCTATCTGTAATTGACTTTGTCCTACACACAACCCCCTGGGCAAACGCGTACCTCCCACGCCTGCCATAACAAACATAAATAAATAGCGCCCCCGCCACGTGACTGAAAGGAAAAACCCTTTCCAAATAAAGACTGGAGTTACAGCCGTACTTGACTCCCAGTAAACGTTGCAGTTCTTTCTCCCACTTCCTGCTGGGTGTGTAATCCCACGCAACCTCCTCGGCTGCGATATAAATAACTTTTGCTTCCTGGTACTGTGTGTGATCAGGGCCCGGCTCCGCACACTGCCTCACGCGGTATTTATGTTTCATGCCTCCTTGATAGTGCTGTGTTGTCATACAAACCAGAGAAAAACTTCCTAGAAGTGAATCATAAAAGAACGCTTAAAGCTTTGCATCCAGATTTCTTTTCTCTGTGAAGTCATCTGTAAGATACAAACCCCCAAAAGAAATATAGTTAAGATAGCTTATTCATTCTTTCATGAATTTGACAAATATTTATTGCCTATCTTCTTTTGCCAGACATATCTGTAGGCACTTGGGAAGAAATATCACTGAAAAAAATCATTAAAAATCCTTGTCTTTGATTTCACATTGGAGAGTGTTGTGGAGGCAGTAAACATAGTAACTTTTATGTATGTTGAAAGGTGAGAAGTGCTATGGATTGAAGAAAAAAAGTAAGGCAGGGTGAAGAGGACTGAGAATTCGGGGTATAGGGGTGATGCTCAATTTTTAGCAGTATTTTATAGGATGGTCCGGGGAGGCTTTGACAGGACATTTGGACAAAGACTCACCAAAGGTAGGGTGGAGCTGGGCAGAGAGCAATCCAGGCAGAGGAAACAGGAGCAAAATCCTCAAGCTGAGGGCCTGCTTCACGCAGCTGGAGACCATTCAAAAGGCCTGTGCGTCTGCAGTCGAGTGAGCAAGGACAGAAGCCTGGGAGACGGAACTGGTGAGGGGTGGGGGGCTGCATCACATGGAGGGCTGCTTGGAGGGCTAGTTCACTGTGGGCCACTGAAAAGTCTAGCGTTTACTCAGTGAAATGGGGAGCTGTTATGGGAGTTTGAGTTGATGAGTGACATAAGGACACTCGGGCAGCTGTGTTAAGAATACACTGTAGTGCGGCAAGGGCAGGAGGAAGGAGACCTGTTAGGATGCTATTAAAATAACCTATGAGAGATGATGGTGGCTTGGATGAGGGTGGTAGCAGTGGGGTTGATGAAAGGAAGTTGAAGAGAATCAGACTAATATGTTAAAAACCAAAAACAATGACCACAGAAATAAATAAACAAGCTTCTACAACAAAAAATTCCATCCTGGTGCAGACCAGTACATTCCACCTGCATTCCAGTTGTCTTTCGTTTTGCAAATTTATGTCCATCATATCTTAATCATCACCAATGTCTGTGAAGGGTAAGATTCAAGAAGACTGCCAGGGAAGCAAAACCTTCAGACCCAGAGGGTTTGGGAAAGAGAAGTTGTTTGGAAAGAAATGATTCCTGTTTAGCACAGTGCTTGACGTGTAGTAGGTGGTTTACTGTAGCTGATGTTGTTTAGGAAAAAGAGTGAAGAATAGGCGATTTTTTTTTTTAAGTCTTGGAAACCCTCTACAGGGGAAAGGAGAAGAAGCGGGGTGGGGGCAGGTGATCATTTGCCTCTGAGTCAGCGTGTACAGCAGAGAAGAGAAAGAGTGAGGGAGAAAGATCTCTCTTTTTTTCCTCCAATTGCTCTTAATCACAGGTTTTGTTTGTTTGAAAAGTAGAACAAAAAATGTAATCAAATGACTCTCTGATATCACAGAGTATGTTACTTGATATTATAATAGTAATGTCCATTATAATTATAATAATCCATGATATTACAGAGTAGCTAGTTTATTGTGGAGCCAGTATTTGACTGGTGTCAGTAGTTTTTTTTACCAAGATGGATGGATTTTTTTTTTTAGTATGTGTGCATATATGTATGTAAAGGATCAACAGCGTAAAAGAGGGAACTAACATTTTACTGAAAGGCTAACAAATGTCAGGCGCTTCTGATAGAAACATCTATCTCATCTGATCCTTGTCAATCCCTTTTTAAGGATGTAAATTATTACAATCCCTATTTTACAAATAAGAGTATTCAATTGGCTCCTCTGATTCCCATAGCAATTCTCTGATTTGAGGTGCTTTTTAAAGAAAAGTTTGCCAGCAGCAATCTCACTGAAGTCAAAACATTTCCCTAGAAAGCAAAGCTGGCAAGGAGAGAAGTAAAAGGGTGGAGGTGGGAGGAGTAGGGGGAGGGGACAGGGGGAGGAGGGGGGAAGGGGCTGGTGGTGTAGGAGTGGGGGGCAGGGCAGGAGGAATAGGAGGTACGGTGGGTAAGGTAAGGTGGAAGCAGAAGAAAGGCCTGGGAAACAAAGGGCAGACGAGTAAGAAAGGCAGAGTATGAGAGATGAAAACAAAATGCTTCAAAGCACCTGTGACGTTTTTGAGTAGCGTGGGTTGATTTAGTGCCTGGAGCCCAGGAAGAGAAAACTGATAGGGGCTGAAGGGATTTCTCTTTACAGAAAAATGATATACCAATACTTCCATAAGCTAAATAGAGCAGTGCAAACGTTTTTCAAGCACTACTTGGGTAAGTTCCTTTTTTTCTCCATGTGCAAACAGTATTCAGGGCATGTAAATACACTGTTTTTCATAGTTAGGATGTGTTTCAAGCTGAAGAAGGAGATCCCCTACTTACCTGTGGAATCGGGCTTCATAAAAAGTGTCCGGGAGGTGTGGGGAAACAGAGCTATAGTGTCATCTCTTGCTCCTAAGGAAGTGAATGTATTTCCTGAAAAATATATCCCATGTAAGTCTTCATATGATCCCACACTAAGAACATGCCATGAAATGTTGTCTCCTAAGCACATATCCAGTCCAGGCAGATTTCCATACATGTATCCATTTATGGCTGCAAGATATTTGTGACAGAGAAAAGAGTAATTAACTTACTGGTACTTGACATCTTTTTGAAAATAAACAAAGGACTCATAAAGCCATTTATTCATGCGAGAATGTCAAGATGATCTGAGTCAACCCCATCCTTTTAGATTTGAGAAAACTAAGGCCAGAGAGGCACTTGCTTGTCCAGTGTCAATCAGCCAAAGAATGGAACTAGTAAGACCAGAGTCCAGGTTTCCAGATTCTAGACCAATCCCTTCTCTCCTACACTTTGCACTGTCTTCAAAAAACCAGCCAACCAACCAATTCAACAAACACTCAGCCTACCCATTCTACTAATTTAGCAATAGAGAAATGCATGACTTTTCTGTCTCACATGTAATAGTAGCAAAACAACATATTGCACCAGAAAGGCATTGGTAAATATTTAGTAAATTGAATTTAACACACTCACCCTAATTGGCAATGTTTTTAATTAAAGAAAATATGAAACATATAAACCAACCATCAGGGAGAAAACGTGCATCTTTTTTTAAACAATCTGTAATTCTTTAGGCATAATGAAATTTAAAAATTGCTTAATGCATTTATCTTGTAAATTAAATGTTCCCTTACAGTACATCTCGTTAGAATGTTGGAAGTCTGGATCCTCTTTATTCACATTTTCAGGCTCTGTGGTAAATGTTTTGATATTTTCATCCAAGAGACCACTTTTATTTTCATCAAAAATTGTGGGAAGCAGATAAAACTCTTTGTCTATTCTTTTCTGTGCGTGAGAATACAAAGAGGAATAGACGTAAGTATAGATGGTCCATATTCAAAGTCTACTTGAATGGTTCATCTGCATACAGGACTTGCCACACAATGGATGTGCATACTCCTGGAAAATCTGACCAAGTGACTTTTACACTTAAGGACATTCTATATAAAGCTATGAATCCCAGTGAATGGATTTATCACAGAACCAAGAAGTTAGGAGAAATCTCTACAGCTGTTTTCATACAAAGTTCTTATTCTAAATCCCTACATCTAATCTTCATCAAAACTTTCATTATGGAGATTGATATTGATATATAGTCACATTTTAAATAAACTATACATTTAATTCTACATATCTTTATATTTGGGGATTTATAAGGATTTATTACATATTAATTAAAATGCATAAAAGAACTTGGATATCAGTTGGCTTGTGAGTGAGGAACAAGAGAATTTCATTCCACAAGCATTTACTGAACACTTACTACATGCCAGAGAGCAGTTGTGGTTGTTACAAAAAAATTAATAAAACCTTATGTATGGTTTCAAGGAATTTGTAGTCTAGTGGGAGAGATGGGCCAATAAAGATAATTACATGGGTTAGTTCTCTAATAGAAACATACACAAGGAACTGTGATAACCTGTAGGCACTTCAGTTAACCTTAGCTGAGGAATATTGTCTGAAGGGCAAGAAGGGACTCTCAGTCTGAGTTTTAAAAATGTTCCTCCTTTAACAACCTAAGACAGGCACAGTCACAGGGGGGCCATCAGGTGAGAAATCGGGGAACAACAGTGATGAAGCTTAGAAACTCACCACCCCCCCCTGTTTTGAGAGAAAGCTTCTGCATCCGTGGATGTTTTATTGCCCTTGTCTAGCTTGGATTAGCACATAGTCTACAGGCACACACATGATCATCTACAATTGCTCTCTTACAACACTAAACTATGTTTTCTACCTTTATCTTGCATCTACCTACCACTTCAGCATTTTATTAAAAATAACAATAATAATAATAATAAAGGGAGAAATGTGGGATCCACATATAAATCAAGTATAAAAATCAAACGAATATTCATATTTGACCTGATTGTTTATAGTTCATAATGCGTGATCAAAACCGAGTTTCTGTGATGAATGTCCTTGTACTGTTCACCATGTAAGAACTTATTCACTATGTAAGAATTCATTCACCATGTAAGAACTTGTTCGTTATGTTTCAGAAGATTGGAGACTGACGAGAATTAGGCTTGAGATGGATTAATGATTGTGCATTGAGCATTGACCCCCCCCATACAGAATTTTATTGTTGTTAACAACCATTTGATCAATAAATATGAGAGATGCCCTCTCAAAAAAAAATGTTCCTCCTTTTAGCAGGCAAAATGGTGACAAAAGGCCATTCAAGACAGAAGAAAGGCAAAACCAAAGAGATGTGACTTCGATCAAAGAAGATGTGACTTAGGGACTAACAAACTACTTCTGCAATAAGGCCAGAAGGGTGTGTATAGGGCGTAGGGATGAAGGCATGTATCTGGAGTGACCAACAGGGTCTGATGTTCTGGCTTCCAAGCCAACACGTGTGGAGAATGCCGAGATTCCATCTGAAGGGAAGGATGTGGTGCCACACTGAAGCAGAGTGAGGCTGGGGACAGGAGTCAGGGGGGTAAAGGGATTCAGAGATGATGGTGCCTAAGATAAGGCAGTGGTGGGGGCATTTGGTGACTAACGAGGGGGTGGGAAAGAAAGGGTTCTCAGTGGGAATCTGAGGTTTGGTGGTGTCATTGACTAAGAGACAGAATAGAGGAAAAGAGGCTGAGTTACAGGAGGGAGGGCCAGGCAGTGGCTGTCCAGGGGAAGACTAAGAGAGTCAAGTGGAAGTAGACATGTCTGTGGAACATGCCAGGGTGGGCATTCATTGGGCAGAGGAAGACACAGGTCTGGAGTTGAGGAAAGAATCGAATTGGAAGACATCAGCACACAGAGGAAACTGAAGCTGCTGATTGCCACATTGTGTTCTGTTCCCTCTGCAGTTCTGTCTCCGGTGAACTTCAGGAAGGCACACTTGGGCGTTAGCCCCATGACTCACCTGTTTGCCATCCTCTCCTAGACTTCCATTTCTGCACACGAGGAGAGGCCCCACGAGGCCACTGTTGGTGTCTCGTGCCATATTTACTGAGGAGTAGTATAACCAGGTCAGGCAGTCAGGATCTGTGGCAGTAGGACCCACATCGCTTGGAACTTCCCATGTATAGACAAATGTTGTGCCAGGACTTACATGAGAGGAGGGTGGAGGGGTACCTAGGAAGAAATAAACACTTGTAAAATAGGACCTAGGACCAAAGGTACCCTGGTTTAGCCTGTGAGATCTCTGCGAGCAAGGTCTGTATCTTGCTCACCCCGTAGCACCTCGGGTGACAGCTCAAAGAGGCTGAAGGAACCACTGCCACAGCAAGTACGCACAGCTGCACTGACGTGAAAAGGGGGCTGCACAATGATTTCAGAAGTTTTATTTGCTCGCTGACATTATACTGCCATACGGCTTGCTCGGGTCTCCCTTGAGCCCTACTTACTTCCTCCGGGGGTTTTGTAGAAGGAGCCCTCATTGCTCTTGCTGTAACGTAGTCCGTGAGGCTGAATGCTGAGCGTCAGGGAGGCATTGTTATAGAAAGTGATCTTGAGGATCTTTCCCACCTCCGCCTTAATGACAGGGCCTAGAAACCAACAGAGTTAGGAGCTGTCCTCAGGTTTTCATGCACGTCAGGCTCTGTTACTCTTCTTCTAGGAATAAACTGAAGAGATGATGTCGCGAACCAGAAACATGTCCAACTACCAGAGATCCAGGTGGTTCAGGGTCTTGGAAAGCCACACTGGGTCACATGAATATATTCATCTTTTTGGATTTATGGGGACAAAAGAATGTAGTTTAAAATTGGGTGAGTCAGAATGTTTTATTTTCATAAGGTTATAAGATGACTGCTAAGATTTCCAAAACAGTGGGTAAGTAAATACTATTTCGAGGCACAGAATATATGTAAATGGTGTTTATAACCCTGTAAGCTATGAATGGAATTTTACCGAGGATCCCAAGGTGTTTTTCTCTTGCCTTCTCTGTTTGGAAGGAAGCATCTGTGTATTCACGGTAAACTATTTTTTTGTAAATTCCTCCAATTCTGGTTGGACTTTGTTTGAAAAATTCCTGAGATTCACTGTGTAGAAAGAGTAGAAACACAAAGAACTTTTCAATGTACAGAGGTCATATGAAAAGAAAGCAAGAATCTACATACATCTGTTTTAAAGGACTTTAATTTATTTAAAAGAAATGCATGCTTATTGTAAAACATTTGAAAATAAAAATATAACAAAGAAAATTAAAATCTTCACAATCCCACCATTATATGTAGCCACTGTCAAGTCTTTATAGCCTTTTGTCTATGCGTGTGTATATAGGTATCTATGTCTGTCTACTAGCTATTTATCTACAAATTTTCTATTGGAATAAAAATTTTAAAAACATTATGTATGATTTCTTTTTGGGTAAGTAATAAAAAATATTGTTTTTGAAACAACTATGTGCAGAGATGCTAGAATATTAAGATGAGAGGTATCATTCTTATCTTCTTACTCTACTATAATGAAATAAAATGGGGTCCCCTGAGAAAAAGTGTTCAATAAGACATCGCAGAATTTCATAGCTAGGAGACTCAAGCAAGTCAAAAGAATTTAATATTGATTCATACTTATTTTAGTCAATGTAAGAGTTGGATTTAATTCTGAATCTAATTTTTTCTCTAAACTCAGATATCCTTCTCACAATTAATACAAATTTCTATCACATAGCTTGAATAATTTATTGCTGAGCTTAAAATGTGAGAAGAGAAAGTATTCACTTGACAGAAATTTTTAGTTTTCTCAAATTTTCTGTGCATGAGAGAAAAATAAATACATTGGGAAACATGATTTTTTGGTGATTTTAGAACTTGATATTTTTTGACATGTAACTTTCATCAGTAGACCAGAAAGATTAAAACTCCTATAATTTTCAAATTGGTAAATACAATTAGAGCAGTTTAGAGTATCAGATAAACTTTTTGTGCACTTTTAAATGATGAAGCCATAGTAATATATGTTAGTCTTAGTTTTTAGTCACTAAAATAATAATAATATAGTCTTAGGTATTACGGAGTAAAAAATATTTATATAATATTAAGGATGTCATAGAAAATTATTTAATTATATTTCAGATCTTAACAAGAAAGTACAAATTACACAGGAGGAATGTTTTTGAAATTTTGCAAAACTACTATTGATGACATTGTCCACTATGTTGTTAGATGTCTCATTATTATAAAATATATCCATTTTTAAATTTAGTGTTAGGCAGAGAAGACAAGTAATGACTCTATGACATCTTAATGAGGTGATGGACAATGATTGCAGTGGGTTGGAGGGGACTTGGTAATATAGCTGAGTGTTGAAAACACAATGTTGCTCATGTGAAACCTTCACAAGATTGTATATCAATGATGCCTTAATTAAAAAAAAAATTAGGGAAAGGAAAAATACGAGCAGTACATTTTCCTTTGCATTCATTGGCTGCCAAAGCACTTAGAGAAAAATTTTGTGTACCAAAAATCCTTAGATGCAATATTTTCCAATTTTTGATATAACTATTTTCCCTCTTTTATTTTATCAGTATATTTTAATTATAAGGTGCCTAAACTCTTTTTAGGAGTAGCTGGGATATGAAATCTTCAATTATTTTATTTAAGCATAAATATTTAAATCACTGAATCACTACCTTCCAGCTGCTGTTAAATTTTTTTTAGTGAAGAAATCTATACCATATGGAGCATAGTTCCAAGAAATTTCCTTTGCAGCAATATAATACTGTATAACTTGCATTCCAGTAACAGGTGCTGAAGGTTTCTGGCAATTCCTTACATAGAAAAAGGCCTGCACACTCTCTGAAAAACAGTAAACCCAAGTAGAGAATGTTATTAAAACATTTTTCTTAGTACATATATATTTTGCATTTCAGCCAACAATATTGCAACTTCCCCTCTCTGAGAAATTTAAGGTATTTTACTTATGGAATCTATGCAGAAACCTAAAATTTATTAAACAAGTACAAAAACCATCAGGCAAAGGTGAATAGTAGAGGAACACATATTACTAGACAAAAATAACTTGCACTGGACCAACTGCTAGATGAAGATGGCACCTGTCTACTGAGAAGCATTCGAGTGTCTATTTGGCCAAAACATCTTCCTGCAAAGGTATGAAATTGCTAACATTAGTCACTAATGAGTTAGTTGGCTTGTTAAGTTAATAAGTAGGCAAGCAGGAGGAAAATCAAGGCAGATAATTCCATGAGGGCATCAGGCTTGTGTCCTGTTTTTAGAGCACTATTGGTGGGAGTGTAAGTTAGTATACACTCTTTGGAAAGCAACTGAGAGGATTTGTTAAAATTAGAAATGCTTCCATTATATAATTTCACTTCTTGGTATTTAGCCAAGAGAAATATTTGTACATACTTAAAAAGATACAAATAAAAAGCTGTTGATTATAACATTAATAAAATGAAAAAAGAAGAGCAATTTAAATGTCAATCAATAGGCAAATGCTAAATAAATTGGGATACATCCCGAATGTGGTAAACTATATGACAGTTTAAAAGAATAAGTCAGATGCATGGGGAATGCCATGGAAAAGATTTCAAGACACACTGATGGGTGAAGAAAGCAAGTAACAGTATTATATGCAGTGTGATCTGCTTGTGTAAAACAAAACACAAAACATAGCTATGTATTTTTATTTCTACATGTTTATATATACTGTATGGCAATACCTAGCAAACAGGTTTGCTAATATGCACTACCAATTGATTACAGGGATTACTCTCTGGGAGGAGAACTGGGATAGTGTTTGAGTAGGGTTGGACTAATGGCATGTTCTTAAACCAATTCTCTAAAGATAAAAAAACAAAACGTGTTTCATTTGCTAACTTTTGTGGTGTAAATACTCCCACCGTGGCCAGTTTGAAGCTACCAAGAGTTTATCAGCTTGTTTATTTAACTATCAGCTCTCTTGAGCTGGTATGACCTCATGTATCATTCCTTTTTCTGCCTGCTTGCCACCACCCCATCTATTTTTCCCTTTCTCCCTCCTTCCTCTTTCTAACAGAATTCTATTCATGCATTCCTATAATTATCACCACCACCAACAGACCAGAAGTAAATTTAAAAACAACTGTAAGACAGAGAGAGGAAACACAGGAGAAAGCTGTGTGGTTGATCAGCCTAGAAACTTCCCGAGGCTTTCCAGGGTTACTAGGGCGGACCGTATCCTCTCTGCAGAGCTGAGCAGGTGTTTCAGATGAAGGAATCACCTGCAAAGTGAGTGAATAGAAGGAGTGGGACTGAATGTACATTTTAACCTGGAAATAATATTCTTTTCTAAGTGAGAACCTTTTTATCATTAACTTCAGTCCTCAAGTAACAATAGCTGTGTGTGATTCTCTTTTTGTTCCCTAGCCCTGGGAGGGACACAGCACAGAGGAAATCCTGATAAATACTTGTTGAGTTGTTTAAATAATTAATTGAAGCATGATGCTAACCAAAGTATGGGACTTAGAAAAGAGAAAGGTTTTGATCAGAGACATAAACTCCATTTTCATACAAAGAAAGAGAAGTGAACTTCTTGAGTTTAGTAACAGTTACGTTGTTTTAACCTGTTGAAACTTGTTTTCTCAATTTAAAAATAGCTGTAATGATAGCTGCTCTGACACTCAGGTTTCTTGTAAGATTCATAGGCTAATGAACAGAACTTTTTTTCTGTAAAAATGAACCCCCCCCAGCCCAGAAAAAATCCTGAGGGAGTTTATTATCATTGAATTAAAAGTGTCAGAGATCTGAGTTTCAGTCCTTACCTCATTATTGCCTTTCCAAAAGAAAATCCTAGCACCTCCCTACATAGTAGTTTTTCCCTTTGGCAAGTGAGGCATTTGTAATGGATTTAAACTGGAAGCTCTCTGACTCTGTATTGTGTAAAAGTATCAATTCCTACCATAGATCTGACAGCCCAGCATCCACTCTCCAGGGCCACTGGCCACCATGAAGGCATCTTCCAGTGAGGCAGGAAAGATGGTAATGACGTCCTTCCTGTGATTCCGAGACATCAGAGTTTGTCCGTGGAGATAGATGGGATGCATGTCGTACAAACCGCCCATGCCAACAAAGTGCCACCTGACCCTGTCTCCTGCACACATGGTGAGGTTGGGCAGATTTCCATATGTGTATCCATTTATTGCTGAAAACAAATGTACATTAACCTATGAAGCATAGTAGATTAGGGCCACATGGTATACATTCTGTGCATTTCTGCATTGCATAGACCCCACAGTGTCAACATTGTTCTCACACATAATCTTTAACAGGACTTGATTTGTGGTTTGTAAAAAAGGAGGCCATAAACATGGCATATGAGTAGAAGTGATAGGAGCACAAGGATTTAGAGGCAAGAAGAGGAAAAATAAGTTGAAAGGCAAAAAGCAGTAAAAAGGGGAAAAGAATAGAAAGAAGCTAAGTCCACGAGAGAATAGAACAAAGATAAAGGTGACTGAGATAACGAGAGCCTCTTTCCTGAAAAATTCTATGTAGAAACACATTTTCATTAAATATCTGGTCAATCATATCTTTGTTCTTCCAAAATATTTGTTACCTTCAAATTACATCTCTCCTATTTTCTACCATCCACTTTTGATCACTGTCAAACTTTAGAAAACAAATGCATCTGCCTAACTTTACTTGCTATGAAACTTTGAAAACCAGTGGGTTTGACTGGATGCCTTGCATATTAAACAGCATACCTTGAATAAAATACTGAAAAATATAAACTCTTGGCTAGAAGAAAATCACTAAATAGAACCACAGAAGTGAGAATTAAGGACATTATGAATGAGAAAGTTATCTTTAATCTTACAGTGCATAAGATTGCTCTCCTTGAAGTCAGCATCACTACTATTAACTCTGCCAGCTTCAGTATATGTATTAATATTGTCATAGATATACCAGCTCTTGTTTTCATCAGTTATAGAAAACATCAGAACATAAGATTTGTCGATATATTTTTCCGTGTCTCCATCCAGTGTGCCTGAAACAAAAAAAACCAGCAAAATTCCTCTTTGCAATGATTTTTTTGCTACAAAATAAACTGTTGAGTCTGACAGCTTAAAATATAAAAGAAAATGTTGCATGTCTCCAACAGAATCCTAAAGAGCCAAGCATGCAAAGAACAGGAAGACAGTCTCTCATCCTCCCATTTCCTCCCATTGTGATGAAACACAGTAAGGTTGTGTTAAGTGGCTCAAGTTGACTGATTTTGACCGCCACCTAGTGACCAACTTCCATTACTGACTTGAACTGAGGCGGTGGACTCACGATTGCCATCTAGTGCTCAGGGTCTAGGATGGCAACTTTACTTTTCTCGGCAGGAGAATCAAGGTCAAGGCAGGAAAAGGGAGCTAGCTCATTGGATAGCAAATTCCACTAGGAGAGTGGTTGTCTCTATTCTGGTTGTCTCTATTGCTACAAGGAGAATTTAAAAGTATGTTACCTCTTTTACAAGTCAGAATTGGTCCTATAAGTCCGGAAGCCACATCTCTTGGAGTGTTTACGTGGGAGTGGTAAATCCTTGTCACGCAGTTACTGTCATTGGGGCCAGGCCCCTGCTTTTCCTCTACAAACCACTTGTAAATATACTGTGTTCCTGGCTGCAGACGGTCATCTTCCTTTTGCCAGCCTGTAGTATTATCAGGATAGAGAGCACCTAGGAAACAGAATAAGCACTGTGGGCATGGGAACCATCAGATGACACAATTTGAATGTGACTTATGCTTTCTCTATTAAGCCACGAATGAATGTTACTTTGCATTAAAACAATTCTTATGCATGTGAGTGAAAAGTTTGTTTTCTTTCCCAGGAACTTCATAAAGGTGGTCACGCATTTAAGATGAGAAATTGAAAAGACTGTCTTGAATATAAACATTAGAAACATCAGAAGTAAGAGTCTGCATTTACCCCAAACTACACCTAGTTCATAATGATAATCAGTTCATTCATTACCCTGCTTTCTGGAGGTAGTGGACTCATCCTCTCCATAAGCAAAAGCTCAGGAATGTAAGGAAAGAGGATCTACTTACCTTCATTTTCTTTGGTGTAGGTGAGTCCGTGAGGATGAAAACTATAGATTCTTGAAGCAAAATTTTTCACATGTACATAAATGATGTCTCCTGTCTCTGCCTTAATTATTGGACCTAAAAATCCCAGCCAGGGTGGCTTTTCAATGATTGTTTGAAATGTATCATTAGTGTACTGAAAATACAAAGCCTTTTTATAAACAGATCCTATCCTATTTTGGCCTCGTTGTAGATAGATCCAGGAAAGAAACTCTCTGTAAAAGATAAACAAAGAAAACAGAGAATTTTAACAAATTTTGATTTTAAAGAAAAAAAAATATTACATCAACTGAAACTAGTCATTAGAAGCCCATAGCCTAATTTTGATAGACAAAAATTACACTGGAGAAAATGTGATGGAAGTCAAAAAAGGTGTTGTAGGCAAAGATTTCATAGGAGGATCTGATGAAGATGAAATACAAATGTAGCAAGTAGCATACGTGACATTTTGGTTTAAAAGACTCATCAAATTCTTTGTACTGAACCACAAAAATGTTTCTAATCCCACTTTGAGGTTACTTTAGACCTCAAGCAGTAAATTGATTCCTATGATTTAGGATTGTTTACAAATTTAAATTGTTTAGACCTGGGGGGGTCTTTGAGGCCACACACACAAATGTAGTAAATCAGAGCCCCCACTCATAACTTCTATCCTTCCCTTCCCAATTATCTGCAAAGAGAAATCAAGAAGATAGCTGCAATTTTACAATCTCTGCCATACATTCCATAACAGAAGGGAAAGTGTTATTTCACATCTTGAGCACCATGCAAACAAAATTGATGATAAACACATAATTAGAAATCCCCTGAAATAACAGGGAATATTGCCACAGAGCAAGAGTGGTGATAACCACAAGAAGGAGTAATTTCTGATTTATAGTAATATGTCTTCCACACCATACTTATATGAAAACAACAACAAAGGAAGTGGCTCTAATAGCCAGTGTGCCCTTACAGGGTCAATCATGGGCAATTCCTCATTAACATTTTATCCATGAGTAGCAATTACCAACTTTTGCTTCTGATATTAACTTGTTCAATGCAAATGTATTACTTACTGATCTTCTGAAAAAGGCTTCCCATTGAGCATATTCTTACCAGTAGGAGCATAGTTCCAAGTGGTTTCTTTAATACCTATGTAATAGTGCCTATCTTTTGCCCAACCTGGAGGACTAATAAAAACCAGAAAGGTCAGCTGTAAAAAGATCTTCATTTCAAACCCTCAGCCTAGAGAGGACAGCTGAGTGATGCTTGTCTTTCTTTTATAATAAGGCTTTCTTCCTTTATTGTGTTCATTTACATAAATCAGTGTTGCATAAGAGCTAATTATGTGCTTCATCTACATATATGTCATTTCCATCCCAAACGCATTTAGTTTTCATTAGTCAGAGCAGAGGAAATGTTACATAACCCATAGAGAATACTGGTTCTTGGCCCAGTGGATACTGCCAGTGTAGAGTTTGCTTGGATTACTGGGTAAATAGCCTACCCAGGTCACCCATCACCCCCTGATAATTATTATCTGTTCTTCAACTATAGGAATTATCTCCTGTCTATTCCCCAGCCTCCATTTTCTCACTGTTCCAGTTTATCCCACACACCGTTCCCAGTTCTTCTTTATATGAACTTCTTTTAGTAAGTAGTTTCTCCAGACGATAATTTAAATTCCATGTATTTAAGATTTTCTTTAAATTATTTTCAAATTTCTTGAGATTTCAGACTATCTGTCATTTAGCCCCTGGTCTGATCTTCCAGGTTTGTCTCCATAATTCACTTACAGGATCCCTTCCTTTTGGAAAGTGGTCATATTAGGGACACAGTGGGGACTGAGGAAGAGCACTGATATCAGACAGCTCTGGGTTTGAATCTTAACTCGGTCACTTAGCAGCCTGTTGTAGGGCAGTCCAGTCCAGGGAGATCTCCTTGTGCGCTTGGCGAGACCTCAACCCAAGAGAGGGTTCTTGATGCTGACAGAGAAACAACGTGAGAACAGGTCAGACGAGTGTAGGTAAGGAAGGAATTCATTAAAGCAAGAGTAGTAGTGAATGGCAGCAGCCATGCAGGCAGCAGAGAGCAAGAAAGAAGAGGGGGAGGAGAGTGCATGAAACTCCTGCTTGGCACAGGGAAAATCCCTTACCAACTCCTGAGGCCGGGGTCACCTGGCATCCACTGTCCACTTGGATCTGCATGGTGTGGGAACTAAGCCCCTACTGTGCATTTGGGGGAGCCACGGGGAACTGGATGGAGTGAAATGATGTTCTGAGAACTTCCTGAAGCAAAGATTTCCGGGCAGGCTTCTAAAGAGCATGATCGTCCCATCCAGGCACCCCAGCAATGGGAACTTGCCAGCCCAAATCAGGCATCTCAGTAGCCCTTCCCTACTTGTCTGAAGTAGGACAGAGAGGGTGAAGACTCGTGCTTAAGTCTAGAATATTGAATGAAGTAGAGAAGTAACCAAGAGGCTTACCACTGGGAAAGGGGTTTTTAATTAACTCCCACCGACAAGTTTGGAAGAGCAGGAATCAAAATGCCATAAGCTGAGCAGCAAGAAAGTTTTACGTAAGGCGAAGCACACACTCAAAGAAAGGGGAATGTGGGCAGCCTCAGAGAGGAGGCGCACTTAAAGGCTTAGGGTTCGTGTTTTTTAATGATTTCTAGGATGTGGTAAAGGGCCAAGGGAGGGAAGCCTTGACATGTGGTCTCATGACGTCCCTCTCCAGTGAGACATTATGTCACCAGCCACTGTCAGTCCTCTAGATACTTGGTAAGATAAACTTAACACAAGCAATTTATTGATTCTGTTCTTCTCGAAGATAATGGTTACCCTCAAGCAGTGAAGACATGTCATTTAGGACTGCTTGCCCTGCCTTCAGACAGGGTCAGTGGTTGGCTAATCACCGTAAAAATGTTAGGAATCTTACATCCTAACTCCCTGGTTTTTCAAATGGAATCTTAGCCTTAAGATGGAGTCCCTCCTGTTCTTACTATTTGTATCTTGATATTTTTCACCATAGTCAGAAAAATTAATCATGATGCCTTTCTCATGTCCCTGCTCTACCTCAAGCTGTGCAAATTAATTTCTTCATTTATAAAATGACAATAATATTACGAACCCAATTAAGAAGTTGTGAAAATTAAATGAAACAGCACATGTTGCAGGGAAGCTTGGGACAAATAAGGAGCCTGGTACAGTCAACATTTAACAAGCGTCATTTACCTCCTTTCCCTCATTGTTAACGGGGACTTGCTGAATTTGTATGTTGTTTACACACCCATTCCCTAGCCTGATATTTCTTCCCTCCCTTTCTCTTTTCATTGGCTTATCTAAAATTTTCCTAACCTTTAATCCTCAACTGATGCTTCTCCTCATCAGTGAAGCCTTGCCTGACCATTTCAGTCTACAGACATCTTCCTTTTTTCTGAATTCACCAGCTGTGTCAAAACCTGGCAATTAATCACACACTGTTTTGTATTACTTAAATACAAAATGCTTGTGTGTTATTTCTCTACCCCCAATAGATTATAACTCCTCTTGATTAGGAACCACTTTTTTTTATTCTGTCTATCTTCTAGAGATGATCAAGAAATAAGTGTTAATATTGTTTTGAACAAGTAAATAGGATGCTTTGACCACAGTCATTATAATAAGTAAGGAAAAGGGGAGTTTTTATTTGTCTTTGATCGGTTTATTGTCATATATTGGGATATCTGTTACTATCAGTATTGTTTGAGACTTCAGAATTTGAAAGCCGCAGTGCCTTTCAATAGTCAGAGTGGTATTCAGATTTAGGTTTAGAAACCTACAATTAGAAACATTAAGGCTGTTCAGTCATATGACATGTATTGCTTTGTGGCTTGCTTTTATTCCTCAGCTACACGTCTTAAAGACCTTTATATATCACTGCCTAGAAATCTACTTCTTTCATTCTAATTGTAGCATACTTCTTCTATGAATGTACTCCATTTATTTTTTAAAACACATAAGATCAAAATATATTATTCCTGGGTGTACACAAAGATGTCTGTTAAGGAAATACCCATAGCTCTGAGATGAAGACAGAGGATTATTATATTCATAAAAAATTTTTTACAAGGAGAATGCATTTCTATATATTAGTTGATATAAAAAAATCAACAAAGTAGTTACAATTTTTTCTTTTTGGCATTAAAAAATAATGAGGCTACAAATCTTCCTTAGAAACAACAGTTGCTAAATTCTTTACAGTCCAAAACTCCCAGGCTGACATATCATAAAATTTTTCACATTCGTGAATCCTTTGGTGAGTTTGAAAAAGAAATTGGGCAAACAGTCCAGTGCTTTGGCAGATTTTAATTCAGAAAAGCTAGGCTTTGAAGGGCTTCAGTGTGTGGAGAAACATCCCATAGGAGAATCAAGAGGAAGGGATTCACAGGCTGTACCCTCTGGAAGACAGCTGAAAGGGTCGGAGAGAGGAGCCAGGCCAGACCTGATGGGTCTCATGAGACAGGGTTATAGATGAGCTCTTTGTCCTCAAGGAAGAGATCCAACCAGAAGAGTTGGCAGCTATAGTCTCATGTATTTAGCTCTGTATGTGGAAGAGCCCGGTGACCTCTGTCATGGTGGCCTAGACCGGCTGCCATAGAAGGATCCACTCATCAAACAGGGAGGTGGGATTCCTTAAATGGGCTTTCAAATGTCACTTTATCCCAAAATTCTATAACTTCCTTCCTCATCCTCCCAGAAACATTAATTTCACTCTGGAATGTGGATAATAGAAGCCCCATTCAGTTGGTATTTTTTTCTCAGGAAGTATACCCCAAAAAGTGCAAAGAAGTCTAGAGTATTCAAATGAATCAGATCTATCCCCCCTTCCCACTCTACCACTTACTAGCTGTGCGGTCTGGCATGAGTTGCATAATCATTCTGAGGCTGAGTTCCCTCATCTGTGACACAAGGGTAATAATACGTAAAGCGCAGGGTTCCTGAGGACCTAGCTTCCAGCCTGACCCAGGGCAGGCATTCAAAGAAAGCTGGAATCCCCCCCAACACAGTGAAAATGGTGTCGGTAAAAATTCCTTCTTCGTTTTCTTCTCAACAAGTAACTAGGGAAACTGGCTTCTATTTTGGGGGTGGGGTGGGGCACTCACTTTGTCTTAGGTAATGTTATATTTTATGGTTTGTGAATATGAAAATAATTTTTCCAGTCCTGTCCTCTTTCTGCACAGCCTCAGTGGTGAATTGGTCTTTCGGTGCAGCAATATTTGAAGTTGGTCACCATGATTTGATTATATTCCTTGTCTGGAGCCCAAGAATACAAGGTAGCTTACTTAGCTAGACTTTGTTGAATTTGGCCCAAAGATGTGCATTCAGACACCTTGGAGGAAAATTTGAATTTCTTTCTGGTTTTTACATTCCACAACTAAAAATAAGTTGAAGAATAAATAGAGCATGTGAAAATATGCAGAAGGACCTAATGATAATAGCATCTTACATTTGTAAAAAGCTTTACAATGCATCAAATAAGTTTAAAAAGGTTATCTTGAAAATATAGTCTTCAAAACACCCTTCCCTCCCCCCACCTCTTATAACAATTTTTAGGTGGGTATTTAAAGCTCAGAAGGGTCAAGTCACTTACTTCCAAGTATGTGGATTCAAATACAAAGCACTGGATTTCAAGTCAAATGTTTCTTCCACGTGACCTTATTAATTTTTCCATGTGACCTCATTGGTTTCAACAGTTTAAGTATGTATACTTCCAAATTACCAACACATGCTAAGTTTTGCTCAGAATGTACAACCCTAACAAGGTAGGCAGATGGGATATCAATGATGTAGGGGCAAATGGGAAGTTTAAAGACAATGGGGATGATGTCAGCACCTTTTACATCCATTTCTTTTCTTTCTATTTCTTAACAATAATCACTATTTGTTGAAAATCAAATCTTCCTTAGTTGCTTTCTTAATATTAGCTCTAAGTATGTCAGTAAATCCTGAAAGGGAAGTTCATTAAGCTCTCTTTATAGAAAAGGAAGCTGGAACTCAGAGTTTAAAAGAACTAGCCAAAGCAAGTAGGTGTTATTGCCAAAATTTAAACCCAGGCCTTAAAGCCTGGTGTATGCTCCTACTCTTAAACTCCCTGCTTATAATCTAGGCTACTCTATGGAACACTATCAATCAGATGAGAAGAGTTTAAATTAATAGAGCAGCTAGTAGTTCAGACAGATGGGTACATT